TAATATATATATATATTATATATATATATATATATATATATATATATATATATATGAAATCTCTATTTTAGCTACTCATATTGCTCGGGAAAACTGATAGAAAAAAAAATGAAACAAAAACCCTAATCAGTTACACAAAACAAATATATTTTTTCCCATAAACTTTTCATTCACCTTTACTCATTATCACTAACTCCTTTCTCGCTACGACTCATTACCTCTTTACTTTACATTTTTACATCTACTCTACACTTATTTTCCTATTTCCTTGTCATGATTTGTGAGGTTAAAAACATTTCCACAAGACTAGGCAGCGAGATGTTCTGTCGAGTCACCATAACGGGAAAGAAATTATCGTGAAAGACAGTATTGTGTAGTCCTACTTTTGAACCGTAAATGTTGCTAATGTTTGTTGGCAATAGTGATGATGGTGGTGGTGATGATGATTGATGGTGAAGTGATGATGGTGAAGTGATGATGATGATGTGATGATGGTGCAGCGATGATGATGATGATTTATGGTGAAGTGATGATGACGGTTGGGATGATGATGTGATGATGACGGTGAAGTATGATGATTGTTAGTGGTGTCGATGATAATGATGGTGGTGGTGATGATGACGATGCGATGATAGCAGAGGTGGTTATGACGGTTATTTGACGGTGATGGTAATATTCATGGCGATAATTGATAATAATTATGATTGATAATAATGACTGATAATAGTGACGGATAACAATGATGATTGATAATAAGGATGATAATGATGATGATGATGATGGGCTTGGTGATGGTGACGGTAATGGTAACAAAAAAAAACTACACTTACAAACACGTATTGTATGTGTGTGCATGAACGTGTGAGCACTCGTGTGCCTGTTCGAGAGCACACACTTAAACAGATGTATTTATGTACATGTACGTGCTCAATTTCAACTCTTCCTTTCTCAACCTTCCCCACCACCCCTACACCCCCACCCCCCCCCCACCCACCCCGCGCCTCAACCCTTGAAACCCTGTCACTGTTTAGAGCACGACCAGCGCTGGCGAACCAACAGGTAACGGGTTAGCTCAACGCCTAACGGAAGTCCGCCTCCATGTAAAGGTAATTACGAATGAACTAGATGAATTTTATATATATTTTTATTATTCTATTTTTAGAGAGAGAATGGGTAGTTTTTTATTTATTTATTTAGAGAGGGAGAGGGAGGGAGGAGAGAGAGAGAGAGAGAGAGAGAGAGAGAGAGAGAGAGAGAGAGAGAGAGAGAGAGAGAGAGAGAGAGAGAGAGGAATAGGTAGTAGATTATAATACGGGGAAAGGATGGATGGAAATACAGAAGGACGGTAGGGAGAGAGGAAAGAGAGGGATAGATAGATGATGAATTTGAGAATAACAAATAAGTGAAATAACAGAAACAGTGGACAGTAAGAAAATAGTATTAGATAGTACTATAGGGGTTCTAGTCATTTTGAAGAGTTCGAAACCATAATATTTCTATAAGTAGAAAGAAAAACATGACTTTAATACCCTTTTAAGTAAATATTTACTTGCAATATTATTATCTTGTGATGTTGTTGAATATTGTCAATAATCAATATTATTCAGTGAGAGAAGAGAGAGAGAGAGAGAGAGAGAGAGAGAGAGAGAGAGAGAGAGAGAGAGAGAGAGAGAGAGAGAGAGAGAGAAAGACACTCAAAAAAAAAAAAAAACACACACACACACACACGACAGAGTCAAAGAAAAAGGAGACAAAAAAGAATACATGAAAATATATCTAATACACAACAACAACAATAACAAACTGTACATACCGGTAAACTGCTCGAATGCTGCATCTTAGTGGTTTCCAAAGCACTAACCTACACTGATCCCTATGTGCGGCGTCGTTTTTAAGGAATAATAAATAAAGGGAGAAGAGATACTAGCGAGAAGATATAAATGGTTGTCGAAGGAGAGAATGAATAGCAGTGGAGGAGAATCGATGTAATGATGAAACTAATAAATATGGGAAAGGCATAAACGCCTAAATAATATACAAAAAGTAAAAAAAGTAAAAGGATAGAAAAAAAAGTAGAGAGATAGATAGATAGATGAAAGAGAGAGAGAGAGAGAGAGAGAGAGAGAGAGAGAGAGAGAGAGAGAGAAAGAGAGAGAGAGAGAGAGAGAGAGAGTTAAAACAGGAAGTGACAAAGACAAAAATCTACCGCCTAGAGAGGAGGCTTGGTAACGTGGTTCAACGTTCGATAAAACCGCTTTGTAAGTTGACTATGAAAAGCGGACTTACGGCGAGAAAAACATTTTTTTAGCTGTTTTGATTATATTCCGAGGAATACGCACTTACATATATATTTGATTACTGATTCATATTGTGTTTTACTGCTGACTTAACTAAGAAAATTAAGTATTAGCGTATGTGATAAATTATGTGTGTAATACCATAACACACGTGTAGAATATTCACTTTTTAAAATATATAACCACGTAATCACATCACAAATACACTTAAAACTCCCACTTATAAACTCGTATCTTTTCACGAAAGAGCAAGAAAGTAACTATGAGAAAGGGAAGCAAGAATGAACTGTTCAAACATCTGCTACGGACCCTCCCTTTGGGGTGAGCTGCCAAGTGTCGCTATATCTTTTGTTGCGTGTGATTTTTCTGTCGTGATATTTTCCTCTTTTTTTAGACTTTGGTTTATTCATGTATGTTGTGTGTTTTTTTCATTCTGTTTTACTTATCTGATAGAGGATGGTGTTATATTTGAATTATATGTTGTTGTTTTTTTATAATACTGATAAGGGAAATATAATGGTTTATCACTATTATTATTGTTGTTATTACCATTTATATTACTATCATAATTGCCATCAAAACCATTTTTATCACTGTTTTTATAGTTGTTATCTTTGATATTACTACCATCATTATCATCAATATTATTTGTATCACTGCTAATATTCTTGTTGTTCTTAACTTTTATATTATTATCATCATTGCCATCAATACCATTTTTATCACTGCTATTATTATTGTTGATCTTGACTTTGATATTACTATCGTCATTGTTATCAAAATCATTATCAGTAAGGCTTTTATTTATAATATAACTAGTGTACCTTTTAATATCATACTTTTTACTATTATTTAGTATCTCCTTTAGTATTGACATTGATATTAATAGTATTGTAAGAAGTATTAGTGATTTGATGATCAAATTTAAACAAGACAAATTGTCATCAAATATCTTAGTCAATTATAACTTTACAAAATTGATCAGAAAAATGAATAAATCATCATTATCATCATCGTTATCAATTTTGCATTTTTTTCTTTTATTACTATATTCATGATAATCACCATTATTGCGTTGTTGTGGTCATCATTAGTATTATCATTGTTATTTATCTCCAAGTGTCAATTATTTTGATCCGATTTTTATTATTCATTATTATCATTACAATCATCGTTATTGTCATCATAATTATATGATATAAAAGCTTTGTCATTATTTCTTTTACCACGAATGCTGACTTTACTATAAACATATTTATCACTACTGACTTCACAATAATGATACCATTACTATTATTTTAATTTAGGAAAAGATGTAATGGGCCTTGTAGAAAAGTCTTGAAAAGGCACTCTGACCTCACATGTCTGACCTCTCTGCTTGACCTTTTGCTTGGCATGAGTGACAGATTATCTGAGGTGATCAGGTGAACCCCCTGATAAAAGCTGATACTCACCCTGACTCGAAAAAAAAAAACAAAAAAAAAACCAAAAAAAATCACTTGAGTTAGCTAGTAATAGTTAACACAGGCCGGGCCACTCTAGAGAAAAGGCGAAGCATGACCGCAAATCTAACTGAACTGAACTGACTCGTAAACACAGAGACTTAGTCAGATAGAGTGAGGATGACCCAAGTTCCCTCGTCCTTTTGAGATGTATTTTTTTTTTATCTCAATAAACATGTCAGAGTAAGAGAGGAGAAGAGAGAGAGAGAGAGAGAGAGAGAGAGAGAGAGAGAAAGAGAGAGAGAGAGAGAGAGAAGAGAGAGAGAGAGAGAAGAGAGAGAGAGAGAGAGAGAGAGAGAGAGAGAAACACGGTGTGTGGCCAGGACTGGTCACGAGAGAAGGTTTGGTCACGAGAGTCGTTGGTCTCTCTCTCTCTCTCTCTCTCTCTCTCTCTCTCTCTCTCTCTCTCTCTCTCTCTCTCTCTCTCTCTCTCTCTCTCTCTCTCTCTTTCTGACAAGTGACCAGAGTATACAACGGAAAGCCAAAAACACCCTTTCTTTCCTAACACACTACCATCGTTAAAAGTTCACTTAAAATCTCGCCAGCAGCAGAGTTTCCCCATAGTATTAACCTTCGAAAAATGACATTCATAATCCCACTTGCATTTCAGTGATTATCATTATAGCAGTAGAACGTACAAGGAAATAATGTGACAGCAGCGATAGTAATAATGTTAACAATAAAGTCAAGATTAACAATATCATTACAATTATCATGGTAACCATTTCCATCGTTATCATCTGTCCCATTATGGAAGTGGCACTTTAATTTCTTATGAATTACATATCATCTATCCATGTTGGGGAGAGGGGGGGGGGGGTTAGGGTATACATAAGTAAACCAATGTATGTAACATTAAGTAATTTATTGTACTTTATATTTCTTCATGTATACACATAGGTAACAATTACATTTATCAAGTGATATATATATATATATATATATATATATATATATATATATATATATATATATATATATATATATATGCGAGTGTGTGTCTGTCTGTGTGCGTGTCTGTGAGTAATATATATTGATATCAAAGCAGTTTAACTACACAAGGCTTTGTCCTCAGATAGCACAAACAATAACAGATTTCAACAGACAGAATTATCATGTAACATTACTGGGCATCCAGATAATAGCTGTAATAAGCTGAAACCCTGCAATGTATCTGTGATGTGTGCAATGTTGCTGTTTCTTTAAGAGGGAGGAGTGTGTGCGTGTGCATCCAAGCGTGGAACTAATATGTTGATAATAATGTTTTTTCAATTATCTTTGGTGCATTTATTTTATTATCATTGTTATTATTTTTTTCTTTTTTTTGACACGGTCGTGTGATGATTTTTTTTATATATTGTTTATTTTTTTCCCCAATAATGATTTGAATTCTGTTTTCCTTTAAATATGAAGTGTGATTTTTTTTTGTTTTCGTACTAAGCACTCCCTCAGACAGATGAAAATGTGTTCTTGAAATCCTGCGTTTGCTAAGGTCTTCGCTCATGCACATCCACGCCCCTCGTCAACAGCTCGGAACGCCAGGCTCTCACAACCCAAAGAAAAAAATGTAACATCTATAAAATTGAGGAAAAATTAAAACACAACCGTGGATAAAAATGGACACAACCTTACTCCTTTTCTTCAGACTACCTCCATTACTTTTCTCTCTTTTTCCCCCTCTAGATAAGAAAAAAAAAAAGGAAAAATCAAGCCCTACACTTGACAAATCTTAACCTCCTCCGGCGTGAACGGCAACTGCTCAGTCCCTTCGTTTATAAGTCGTTCGCAAGGTTCTGCATTATCCACGTGCTTCAGTTGGTAACACTGATCCACCGGCGGCCCAGGGTGGAGGAGGCGGTGACGGAGCGGATTCCGGGAGCAATACTCCGCCCACAGGGTTCTGAACCTCTCCAGGCCCGGTCCCCAGTCGTCGGAGGGTCCCAGGCCGGTGGAGAGGCGCTGCGGGAGAGAAGAAGAGTGAGGTGCAGGAGGAGATGGGAGGATGTGGATGCAGGTGTAGGATGTGAGAGAGAAGGCAGGAAATTTATGCGGTAACAATGTAAACGTGTATGTATATGCTTGTATGTGTGTTTATATGTACAGGATGTACCAAAAATATGTACACACTAAATAATTGTAAAGTAGTGTTTTATATATATATATATATATATATTATATATATATATATATATATATATATATATATATATATATATGTATGCAGATTTTAGCAACAGATAACTCAATTGATGTTATTTTCTCTCCAGATTTAACCCACTGGAATTAATGATGGCAGCCAGACTAAAATCTGAACAAAGTAAATTCATTCAAAAATGCTACTGGAAGCGTGAAAACGCGGTTGAAGTGTAAAGACAGTTTAGGAGGGAGTTTCAAACCGATCTACCAACGCGACTAACCATCACTCGGATTAGAGATAAGTTTGAGGCTCTCCTTGCTTTGAGGGCGACGCCGCGTCCCCTGGGCTTCCCGGACGTTCTGAAGTTTCATGGCTTCAAACTTATCTAATTCGAGTGTCATGGTATATATATATATATATATATATATATATATATATATATATTGTATATGTATGTACCATACATATATATTTATTTATACACGCACACACACATATTAATATATATATATATAATATATATATATATATATATATATATATATATATATATATATATATATATATATATATATATACGTATATATATAGGCAGGACCGCCGGGGGGTAGCCGGGGAAACGACCCCTGGGCTCGAAAAAATAGTAGTCGCTTATCTGAGCCCAAGAACAACTATCATTAATTTATAGAGTGTATTTATACTAAAACAACGTTACAGCAGTTAACGTCAACAGGATTAAAAATAAGGAAGCGGTTAAAAAACTGTCCTCAATCTTCTGCCAAACTAGCGATATTTCTCTGCCTCTTTCTCTCTCTCTCTCTCTCTCTCTCTCTCTCTCTCTCTCTCTCTCTCTCTCTCAAATTTCACCAGCTTATACTTGCAAGAACCCTGCTGTAGATATTATGAGGGGAGAGCTTGAGATCTACCAGTCCCTCATTGCTACCCTCCCCCCCCCCTTTGGAAGGCAAGCATATCCAATAAAAGCGGTAAAAAGAACCGCAGGACCGTTAACAAGGAAGGCTATACCATAACTTGTGATTTCGTGTTTAGTACATGTTACGACGGTCGAGGTCCCATGAGCATAGCACAGATTTATGAGAGAGTCAGAGAGACTTGTGGATGACATGCTTTTCCCTCATAAAATCTACAAAAAAACACCCGTAGGAAGTAACCACACTTGTTTTATTCACTCTCAATAGATGGCGCTGCACACGGTACTTGAGTATTATGCGAAAACACAGTGCCATCTATTGTCACAAAATGGTTTACTTTCCCCATTCTTGGTCTCCATTGTCACCTTCCCTAAGTATACGGCGGATTATAGTTTTTTTTTTATGAAGTCTTCGTTACCTATGCGTTCTCTTGTTTACTAGTGTGAATAACAAGTGTTGTAGTCGTATTAGGTGACATTGCCTTTCAAATTACGCGGCACGTATCATCTCACAGGTTAGTGTGTAAGCCTCTTTGTGTGTGGTCTGTGTTTTATCTTGCAGTCTATATCTTGTGTGTGTTTGTACCTCCGTGTAGGTATTGTTGGCTCTTCTCTTACATCCCACTCTGCATGAAGCTAATTTCCATTCACATAATACCCCGTAGTTTCTATTTTATATTCCATGTCGTCCCTCACTGTCTAGATAATGGGATGTTTTCGTACAGTAATTTCCTTTTCCTATATGAATTCAGAATTTACTTAAGTTTATCCTTCCATTTAGTATAGAGAAAACGGAATCACTTAACAGGACTATACATTTTCTTTGGTGGAAAAGGGTAGACTAAAGTATATCTTTCTCCGATGAAAAGGAGAGGAAAAAATATGAAAAAGAAGAAAAGGAGGAGTAAAATTAACAACGGTAGATACATAGAGAGACAGACACCAAACCGATTAGATATTTAGAGAGCATAACCAGAAATGTGAGCCGAGAGATAAAATAAACCTTATGCAAATCACACTTTTTCACATTAAAAGTATGAATAGAAAAGCAAGATACGTCTTCACAAACCCCGTTGCCCACACAGACACACACACACACACACACACACACACACACACACACACACACACACACACACACACAACACACACACACACACACACACACACACACACACACACACACCACACACACACACACACACACACCCCCCTCCCCCCCCCACACACACACAACCCCCCTCCCCACACCCACACAAACACCCCCCTCCCCCACCCAGACACGCAACCCCTCCCCACAACACCCCCACCCCACCCACCCACCACCACCCCCCACACACCACCAACCTTATGGAACGACCCCGAGCTCCCGCAGACGAGGAAGGACAGCGCATACAGGGGCGCCGTGAGCATGGACGTCCCAGCGATGACCCAGCCGAGTGCCTGAGCCCAAGCGGGGAGCTCGACCCCGCGGTAGCTCACGGGCGAACTCCGGGCGAAGATGTTGACGAAGATGAACTGTTGGAAGAAAGAAGGGGGTTGGGGAAAGAGGGGGGGAGGGGGAGGGAAGGGGGTGAAAGAAGGGCGGGGTGGGATGAAGAGGGGGGGGGTGGAGGTGGGGGGGGGTGGGGTGGGGGGGGAGGGGAAAGGGGGGGGAGGGGAGGGGAGGGGGTGAAAGTGAGGGGAGGGGGAGGGAGAAAGGAGGGGATGGAGAGGGGGAAGGAGGGGAGGGGAAGGAGGAGGAGGGGGGGAGAGGGGGGAGGGAGGAGGAAGGAGGGAGGGAGGAGGGAGGAAGGAGGAGAGGAGAAAGGATGGAAGTAGGGAGGAGAAAGGAGGGAAGTGGGAGGGGGAGGAAGGAGGTAGGGAGGAGGAGGAGGAGAATGGATAGGGAGGAGAAGGAGGGAAGAGGAGGAGGGAGGGAGTAGGATGGGAGAGGGAGGAGGAAGGAGGTGAGAGTAGGGAGAAGGAAGGAGAGATAAAGACAAGAGGAGGAAAGGGAGTGGGGGTGAAGGTGAGAGGATGGTGAAGACGTGGAATAGGAGGGGAAGGGATAGGGAGAAGTGGGAAGAGAAGGAAAAGGGAAGGGAGAAGATGAAGAAGGAGGAGGAAGGGTTAGAGGAGAGAAAAAGAGGAGAAGAAAGGAGGGGAGATGGAGGAAGGAAAGAGGAAGGGAGAAGAGGAAGGAGGAGAAATAAAGGAAAGAAGGGCAGGAATAGAAAGGGGGAATGACAGGAAGAGGGAGGGAGGAGATACGAATGAAGGAGGGGGATGGGGAGAAAGGAAAAGACGTGGAAGAGAAGGAAATGGGGTGGGGAGAAAGGGAAAAGGAGCAGGAGGAGAGATGAAAGAAAGAAGAGGTGGAGATAGTAGGGAAGAAAGGAAGAGGATGAATGGAAGAAGGGGAGAAAGAGGGATGAGGTGAAGAGGAGGAGGGAGGAGAAAAGAAGGGAGGAGTAGAGAGGGAGAGAACAAGGAAAAAAATAAGCAGGAGGAAGAGAAGAAGAGGAGAAGGGGAAGAAGGTGGAGCGAAGCAAGATGGAAAGTGAAAAGGAGGAGGGAGAAGGAAGGAGAGGAGGTAATGAGAGGAAAGAGGGTGAAAATAGTAAAGGTAGAGAAAGATAAGGAGAGAGGTGATTGATATTATATATATATATTCATGTACAGGTATACATTATATTAACATTGCAATTATATACAGGTAGATTAACAATATATAGGAAATATAGGACATAGGAAAAAGGAGAGCAAGTCAAGGGATTAGCACACGAGAGATAGATGTAGAGAGAGAGAGAGAGAGAGAGAGAGAGAGAGAGAGAGAGAGAGAGAGAGAGAGAGAGAGAGAGCATAAAACAGAGGAGAGGGAAGAGATAGATATATTAGATAGAGAGAGAGGGGGGCATAAAAAAGGGAAGAAGAGAGAGAGAGAGAGAGAGAGAGCAAAAACAGAGAGAGAGAAAATTCGCTAGATTTAGCGGAAAAATCGCCAAAATAGTAATGTCTATCAGCTCGTCCGCCCGTCCGCCTGTCTGTCTGTGTTTATCTGTCTGTCTTTATCTGAGCACTTCAGAGACACAGAAAAGATACCCATACTCACTGCCAGCACAGACGGTGTGATGGCTAACCAAGTTACGTACCAAAAATATGGTACAACCTTTCCTGTCATCATTTGTATGTCTCTTATCAGGCGACCAACACCTGTAGAAAAAAAATAAAGATGTGAGGATTAGTAATTGTCATGGTAGATATATGACGATAAAAATTGTGATGAATAACAACAAGGAAGATGGCAGTAGTGATAAATAAACGTGATTTGTAGAATTATGAATGTGACAGGGGTTATTTTATAATTAAGATTAATATAATCTTTAATTGCCGTTATCATTACTTTTGGGAATTCTGTTATCACCATTACTCTTCTTGTTATTATTATTTTTACGGTCATTATTGTTGTTGTTATTATTATCGTTATTTATTTTCCAATTACTATCATCATCATCATCATTATTGATATCCTTAATGTTGTTATTATTATTGTTATTATTATCATTATTATCGTTTTATTACAATTATTTTGTCATTATCAATATCATTATCGTTAGTAGCAGTATCAATCTTGTTATAATCAATAGTATTACTGTCGTTATTACTATCAGCATCACAAACACAGAAGACAAAAACAACAACAATAATACTCATAATCCTTTTTCACTCACCGTATGAATATCCGAAGACGAGCATTTCACAGAGGCCCACGAAGATGAAGGTGTAGGGGGCGCAGTAGGTGTCCAGGAGTTGGATCACGTACATTCCTCCCTGTAAAGTGTAAACAACGATTTGTGTGTTTGTTTGGAATGCTTTTGTTGGTGGTGGTGATGGTGCTGGTTTTCTTTCCGCCCTGTAAAGCGTAAACAACGCTTTGTGGGTTTGTTTGTTTGTTTGTTTAGAATTTTTTCTGGGTGGTGGTGTTGGTGCTGGTTTTCTTTCCGCCCTGTAAAGTGTAAACAACGATTTGTGTGTTTGTTTGTTTGTTTGTTTAGAAGGTTTTTGTTTGTGGTGGTGGTGGTTTTCTTGGGAACTTGGTGGGGATTTTTGTGTTTTCTTAGATTCAGATATGGTTTACGTTCCTTTAGATATATGACATGCCATGAGCGAGCCACTAGTTTTATGTTCATGGGCTACGTGTTGAAGGAATAAATTGCTTGAAATGTGGATGGATACGTAGGCATATGTGAATGAAACATACCTAATTACTCAAAGAAAATCTAAAAATAACCAAAGTCATGTATATTTTCCTGAATTCATACACATAATTATATAGATACAGGCTACAAACACACACACATACACACTCTCTCCTACACAATCACACACACACACATACACACCACACACACACCCTCACCTCTCTCACACACACACACACACACACACACACACACACACACACACACACACACACACACACACACACACACACACACACACACCCTCACCCTCACACACACCCTCAACCCCCCCCCCCACACACACACTCACACACACACACACACACACACACACCCTCATCCTCACCCTCACACCCCCCCTACCCACACACCTCACCCTCACACCTCACACACTCAAACACACAACACACCCTCACATTTGCCCTCTGACCCCTCACCCAACGCCAGACAATCCCTGACCTTCGTGCAGCAGCTGAGAGCCACGAGACACAGGCCAACGCAGAAGGCGAGCGTGACCCAGGTCCTGGAGTGGCGGAGGCGTGGGAAAGCATCTGTGACCGTGAGAACCATAGACTCCATCTCGGCGAACTGGAGTGGAGGGGGAGGGGGGAGAGAAGGGGGAGAAAGGGGGGGTTAGGATTTGGTGTTTGTTTTTTATGATTTTAAAGTTTTGTATTGTTATTTTTTTGATATTTTTTTTTATATTGGTATAAGTGTTATTTGTGGTTGATGGTGGTTATTTAATCGTTATTATTATTATTATTGTTGTTGTTGCTGTTGTTGTTGTAAGTTGTGATATTGGCAGTAGTATTCATTTACTATTATCAACATTATCATTTTCTATCATCTTGACCATTATGAAACATCCATCATTATCATCATTATTATAATTTTTATTCAGTATTACTATTATCATCATCCTCATGATTATTATTTTTTTCGGTTTTGTTATCGTTATCCCAATACATAATGTAATCATATAACTATTTCTACCTTTTGTTAACCTTATCAAAATATTGCCATCAAATGCTATTTATTTATTATTATTACTATCATTAATAGCATAACACCATCATCACCAAACCAAGAATAGACTCACCGATTCTTATCAATTCCCTTTAATTATCAATTCCTTTCAATTATCAATAACTTTCCTTTAGTTATCAATTTACTTAAATTATCATTTTCCCTCAATTATCAATAACTTTCTTTCAACTATCAATTCCCTTTAATTATCAATTTCCTTCAAATATCAATAACTTTCCTTTAATTATCAATTTCCTAAAATTATCAATAACTTTCCTTCAATTATCAATTTCCTTAAATTATCAATTCCCTTCAATTATCAATTTCCTAAAATTATGGATAACTTTCCCTCAATTATCAATTTCCTTCAATGATCAATAACTTTCCTTCATCTATCAATTCCCTTCAACTATCAATTCCCTTTAATTATCAATTCCCTTCAATTATCAATAACTTTCCTTCAATTATCAATTTCCTCCAACGATCTCAACAATCACCCATCAACCCCCCCCCCCTCTTTACTCACATGATGGCTTTACTCACAATGGAGTCGATGCCCAACAACCCCCCCCCCCCCCTCTTTACTCACAATGGAGTCGATGCCCAACACCCCCCCCCTCTTTACTCACAATGGAGCCCCAACCCCCCCCCTCTTTACTCACAATGGAGTCGATGCTCACAATGAGTCGACAACCCCCCCCTCTTTACTCACAATGGAGTCGATGCCCAACCCCCCCCTCTTTACTCACAATGGAGCGATCAACCCCCCCCTCTACTCCCAATGGAGTCGATGCCCAACAACCCCCCCCCTCTTTACTCACAATGGAGTCGATGCCCAACAACCCCCCCCCCTCTTTACTCACAATGGAGTCGATGCCCAACCCCCCCCCCTCTTTACTCACAATGGAGTCGATGCCCAACCCCCCCCTCTTTACTCACAATGGAGTCGATGCCCAACCCCCCCCCTCTTTACTCACAATGGAGTCGATGCCAACAACCCCCCCCCCTCTTTACTCACAATGGAGGCCCAACAACCCCCCCCCCCTCTTTACTCACAATGGAGTCGCATACCCAACCCCCCCCCCTCCCTCTTTACTCACAATGGAGTCGTATGCCCAAACAACCCCCCCCCCTCTTACTCACAATGGAGTCCGATGCCCACAACCCCCCCCCCCTCTTTACTCACAATGAGTCGATGCCCAACCCCCCCTCTTACTCTCACAATGGAAAGAGATGCCCAACCCCCCCCCCCTCTTTACTCCTGGAGTCGAATGCCCAACCCCCCTTTACTCCAATGGAGATCGTATAGCCCAACCTCCCCCCCCCTCTTTAACTCACAATGGAGTCGACCCAACACCCCCCCCCCCTCACCTTTACTCGAACCAATGAGTCGAAATGCCCCCAACCCCCCCCCCTCTTTACTCACAATGGAGTCGATGCCCAGGAAGAACAGCATCGAGAAGAAGAGGACCGGCCCACAGCTGCGCCAGGGGCCATCAGGACACCGGCCTCGGT